ATTTTCCCCCTTTATTCCCTTTATTTCCTTTATTTCTCAATTTAAAGGATTTTTTTTTTTTTTTTTTTTTTCCCCGATCTCCTAGAGTTTGTTTTTTTTTTTTTTTAATGAAATTGGTTTAATGTCTTTGGTAATTACTTTGGGCTACCTCAGGGATGATTTTTGTCCAATTCCTATTTCTAGGTTTATGGGCCATACTTTCCTGTTTCTTTGTATGTTTTGTAATTTTTTGTTGTTGACAGCTGGATACTCTGATTATTATAGTATGGTAACTCTATAAATCTGTTTCTCCCACTCCTCAATGATTGCTGTTTTTTGCTTGTCGAGGGCTGAAGCCACCTGTTTGTGACTTTATGAGCTATTTTCGCAAAGTATGTATTCCATATTGTGTATGGTCACCAGTTTTTGTTCTATTGTCTCTGTGGTTAGCTGGTGACCTGACAAAGATTTTCTTAGATATGTGGCTCCAGAAAAGGAGACAAAAAAGGTTTTTCCTTCTTTAGTGTTCTGATAAATACCTACAGTGAAACCCACTGCTGTGGAGAGTATTGAAACTGATGCATGCCTGTATCACTCCCTCAGGGCCAGACCAACCAAAATGTACAACCCTAAATTTTGAAGGACATGATCCCCACTGTCCCTCCTGGCACCAGTTAGCAACTCTGGGAACATGGGCTGCTATCCCCACTGCCACAAGAGGTGGTGGGTGTGGTGGTGGTGGTTCTGAGGAATAGGGGAGGGTAATTGGTTTATGTATGCTGCTTATTCATACTTATGAAAGATCAGTAGCCTCTTCCTTCATCAAGCACTCCCCTGGTTGTTAAAAGGGTTTGATCAGTTCCTAGAATTCTACTAAAGTACTTGATTCCATTTACTCTTAGTCTTTTTTTAAACTCTTAGCTTTTTTGAGACAGAGTCTTGCTCTGTCTCCCAGGCTGGAGTACTGTGGCACCATCTCAGCTCACTGCAACCTCCGCCTCCTGGGTTCAAGCAATTCTCCTGCCTCAGCCTCCTGAGTAGCTGGGATTACAGGTGTGCACCACCATGCCCGGCTAATTTTTTGTATTTTTACTAGAGACAGGGCTTCACCATGTTGCCCAGGCTGGTCTCGAACTCCTGACTTCAGGTGATCCACCCGCCTCGGCCTCCCAAAGTGCTAAGATTACAGATGTGAGCCACCGTGCCCCGCTCCAGTTATTCTTTCTAGCTCAACTTTTACTTTGGTGGGGAGACTGACCCCTAGATCTTCCTATTCTGTCATTTTGCATCCATGATGTCTTTTGAAGTTCAAATGTTTTAAATTTAATGAAGCCCAGTTCATCAACTTTTTATTTTATAGATCATGCTTTTGGTGTCATATCCAAGAATTCTTTTCTTAAACCATAGTGACAAAGATTTTTTCCCATGTTTATTAGTGTGGGTAGATAGGAAACCTTTAGGGTGCAGGCAGGTCACATAGGAATTGTAGAGGGAGTATGACTTGATGAGAACTGTCTGGCCTGTGTGGGACTTGCAGAGGAAATTAGCACACTGATGCTGGCAAGAAGCCTTTGGTGGTCAGTTTTTATGTTGAGCAGGCTGCACGGACGCCATCTTCAGGTTGAGGGTGCAGGTTCAGCAAGGCTGCAAGTTTGCTGAGGGGCTGCAGTCTGGGCATCTAGCTAAGCAGAGTTTTACTGGATGTCCTCACACCTCTACCCCTGATCCACTCTGCAGCAGCTGGAAACCACAGGAGAGCCCCTTTCTCCTTCAGTGTCCCTTTGGTGCCCTCTACCCAGAAAGCTTAACAATTTCATGTTTGTTTTAAAGGAGAAATGGTTAAAGGAATTTTTTCTGTTGTCCCAGAGCATAAAGGTGAATTTGGAGTTAAGAGGTATAAGAAGAATCATCAACAGAAATAATAAAAAGATAAACAAATTGGAAGGAAAATGATAGCCATAAATAAGATGTAAACATTTGTTTAAATCAGCTACAAAGTGTTTTCTTGATAAGTGGTACACAATGTATCAAACATTGTTTAAATTAATAGACCATCCTTTGACGCTTGAACTTTTTTTCTTAGAAGTATTCCTAGTCCTCAGCATATTCATTATTGAAAACTTTCAGCTATTTCGTGATCTTATGAAGTAGAGAATTAAGTTACTATACATGGTCTCTGAGGTGAAACCTTCAGAGTATCTTAAAGTAGCAATTATTCTAGTGTCATATGTTTATTTCTGTTATACACCTGAGGAAATAAGAGTGTTTCTTTTCTTTTTATTTCTTTTTTTTTTTTTGGAGGCAGAGTCTTGATCTGTTGCCCAGGCTGCAGTACAGTGGCAGTATCACAGCTCACTGCATCCTTAACTCCTGGGCCCAAGTGATTGTCCCACCTCAGCCTCCCAAGTAGCAGGGACTACAAGGTGTGCACCACCATCCTGGCTATTTATTTTTATTTTTATTTTTTGTAGAGACAGGGTCTCACTACATTGCCTAGGTTGTTCTCAAACTCCTGGGCTCAAGTGATCCTTTTGCTTTGGCCTGCCAGTGTTGGGATTATAGGCATGAGCCACTATGCCTGGCAATTTCTTTTCTTTATTGATTATCCTGCATTCTTTTGTAGGAGTCCCTTAACATTTTTCGCTAAAAAGTTATTTTCTATTATCACTAATCTGCACTGTTAATATATATTGATACGGCATTTTGAGTATAGATAAATCTAATTATTTGGGACTTCAACCAATTTGGAACTGTTTGTAATTAATTGTTTGTGTGAATTAGAAATTTTCTTACTGTTCATTTATAGCTTATACAAAGGGTTTATATTGAGTTGAATTCATCAGTACCTTTCTAATTGGTTCGTGGGCCCTGGTCATGTTGTTTTGACGGGTACATATTTTGAGTATCATCCCTGCTTACATAAAAAAATAGGTACTTAATTTGGTTGGTTAGGACATGGATATAATAGGTAAAATCCTTAATACCTCTGCAGGGTGCTTATTGACGCAGAGTGCAATGAGGTGGTCTCAGCTCACTGCAACCTCCGCCTCCAGGGTTCAAGCGATTCTTCTGCCTCAGCTTCCCGAGTAGCTGGGATTACAGGCGCCCACCACCACGCCCGGCTAATTTTTGTATTTTTAGTAGAGATGGGGTTTCACCATGTTGGCCAGGCTAGTCTTGAATGCTGACCTCATGATCTGCCCGCCTCTGCCTCCCAAAGTGCTGGGATTACAGGTGTAAGCCACTGCACCTGGCCTGGTTTTTTTTTTTTTGGTTTTTTTTTTTTTTTTTTAGATTTTTCAGTGAGAGATACTTTCTTCCTTGGTTATATATTGATTCTTTTGTAATAAGCTTTCTTGTACATAGCTGGCCTAGGAAAAACAGGTTAAATGTATATATTATAGCAATAGGGGATTAGTAGTTATAATTTTATAATAAATAACAAATTATTACTGTAAATAATATTTATCCAAATATTGTATTACTTAATCCTTTAACTGTTATATAGTTTCTTTTAAATGTTTTTGTTTTCAGAATTTTGGCTGTTATTGTTAAGCACATGTACAGTCAATTCTAGTATACTTTGTAGCTGATTTGGACAAATGTTTACGTCTTATTTATGGCTGTCGTTTTCCTTCCAATTTGTTTATCTTTTTATTATTTCTGTTGATGATTCTTCTAATACCTCTATATAAGCCAGATAGCCTTTATTTTATTTTAAGTTCTGGGACACATGTGCAGAATGTGCAGGTTTGTTACATAGGTATACATGTGCCATGGTGGTTTGCTGTACCTGTCAACCCGTCATCTAGGTTTTAAGCCCTGCATTCATTAGGTATTAAGCCACATATTCTTAATTGAGCCTTATTATTCTAAGTAATAGTGATGTAAGTAGTAGAAATAGTTTTATTTAAAAGTATTTTTGTTTTTGCCTTGGGAACAAACTTATTATAAAATTACTGTTAAATAGCTCTCTGGTTAAAAAAACACAATTCATGTAACTTTTCTGTGTTTCAGAAACCTTTTTCCAAAAAGGACAAAGGAACTCAAATCAGTTGTCCATAGTGCTCCTGGTTGGAAATTATTTGGTAAAGTCCCTCCTAGAGAGAATCTTCAGAAAACATCCAGAATCATTCAGCAGGTAAGTACAGACACAGCCATGTAGTTTATCCTAGCTTTTTAAGCATTCTTCTTCTTCTTTTTTTTTGATAACTAACCATATTCTATTTTTATTCTTATTTTTCTAGATATGGACTTTTGGGATTATAAGTATTTATAGGGACCTGCTAAATTTTTTAGGAAAACAGATCACATATTTCCTGTTATCTTTTGTAATTGTGAAAATTCTTCAAAGGAATAGAATATCGACTTTTTTTTAAACCAGTTATTCCTTGAATAGATTTTTTAAAAACTTAGCTAATCACTCTCACCACATACTGTTTGACTTCCAGTTGAAGTTGGTAGCATTTGCCAGTGGCACAGTTGTTCTGAATATTGGTTGTTGTGAACTGATGAAATATTAAAAACCAAAAACTGAGTAGATTATGAGGTTGAACTCTTTCCTTTGTCACTTTTCTGGTGTCCTCTCTAAACCAAGGACTTTGTAAATGAGAAAAGTTGGTACACAATCTGTTTCTAGTAATTTGGAAGCTATTTCTTCTGATATCTCTATTAACATCTGTATTCTTGCATTCTTAAGACTTTCTGATCTTATTTGACTTCAGAACTTTGGCTCTTCAGTACTAGATTAGTGAGAAAGGAAAGCAGTGAGACTGGATCAAATCTGCAGTGCTTTAAAGTTCAGAGAAGTTATTGCTCAGAAGATGACATATAATACATTTCCTATTTTTATCCTTCCAAATTGCAGTTTACCAGATTTAACACAGCTAGCATTTATAAAGACAATCACATGAAGGCAATAATCATCATTCAAATTGGAAGAGATACTTTCCTTTAAGGATTTAATAGTGTTCCTTTTATTGCTCAGAAGAAAAACTGGTTTTCCAAGTAATATGAGAAAAAAATTTTAGATCTTTAAAAGCATTATTGTAGTTCTTTTTTCTTCTTTTTGCATTTGAATAAAAGATTTATTTTTTTCCTCAGGAAAAACAGAAAGTTAGGGAAACACTATGTTTTTAGAACCTGTATTATTTTGTAGTTGGTCCTAACCCTTCCTGGCACAGCTGTCAAAAGCACTAGCTGTTTAAACAGAACCAAGGTGTTCACCCCCATAGAATGTACATGCACGGCACTAGATGACTGCGTGTTTGTCCCTGAGAGAAGCATAAGACAAACGGAAGTTGCTGAGAGAGCCGTCTAAGCAGCCCCTCCTTTTCCCTTTTGAAGGATTTGCCTGAACTATGTAGCTAGTCAGCACTTAGACCATGTGCCTCCTCCTCTGCCTGTGAACTAACTTAATTTCTTTTTTCAAGAGACTTGGTATTGCTATGTCGCCCAGGCTGCCCTCAAACTCTTGGGCTTAAATGATGATGCTCCTGCCTCAGCTTCCTGAGAAGCTGGGACTACAGGTATGTGCCACCACACCTGGCTTATAGTTAATTTTCTTCACAAGTGATTAAAATAGTGAATAGTTTATCTATTGGTACTTAAAACTGTGTGCTGTGATCCCCAAACCATGTGCTCAGACACTCTGGTGTGCTGCACTTAACACAGTGGGGTACTGTGGGATATTTAAATTTTTTCAGGCAAACTCAGTGATATTCCACATCAGTTGGATATGGTGCAGACTGTTAATTTGAAGCAGTACACAGTTCCAACATTAAGTGCTACTACATACTTTTCTGTGACATCATATCTTTGTGAATCTGTTTTTTCTGAGGTTGCTGTGATAAAAACCAGATACTGTACAAAAGTCAGCGTGGGAGTGGAAATGAGGGTGATGTCTAATCTGCTTTTAAGGTTTGAGAAATTGTATCCAATGCACAAAGCCACACATGCCCAAATTGGTAATTAATTGTGGTTATTTAAGAATGAGGCTGGATGTAGTGGCTCATGCCTATAATCCCAGAACTTTGGAAGGCAGAAGTGGGCGAATCACTTGAGGTCAGGAGTTCAAGAGCAGCCTGGCCAACATGGTGAAACCCTGTCTCTACCAAAAATACAAAAAATTAACCAGGTATGGTGGTGCATGCTTATAGTCCCAGCTCCTCAGGGCGTGAGACAGGAGACTCGCTTGAACCTGGAAGGTGGAGGTTGCAGTGAGCCAAGATCATGCCACTGCACCAGAGCAAGACTCCATCTCAAAA